GTGAAGTTGAGAGCCTGGAACCTAGCAGTCATTAGGGAGTGCCTATTGATGGGGGGATGTTGCAACAAGAAAGAACACTTGCTCATAAGACCCCTGCAGGTCCGGCTGGGCATCAGCGCTTCCTTCCAGGAGAAACATCTTGCGTGGCAGAGCTCCTGCTCAGGGAGCTCCATGCGGCGGCCAGCTCTGCCGGGCATGGCAGCAGGAGGGCCTTGTGTCAGCCTCGGAAATGAGGTCACTTACGAGCCTGCCTGGGCCACCCGCCACCCGAGCCTCGCATGCATTCCTTGTTCAATGAGATGTTGTTTTCAAATGTGTTCCCAGGGAACTGTCGTGGGGTTTTTGTCTTTACCCTCCCTTTCTGCCTGGCTTACAGGCATAGCTGCAGCTGCTATAGCAGCAGGCTAGAAACAGGGATCAGGGTTTGTGAGCAGGCCGGCCGTGGAAGGGCTGGTTTCCCTGGGCTCAGCCAGCGCTGCGGATGATATGGCCAACCTTTACAGCCACTGTCCTCCACTGCCCTGTCACCGAGAGCTGGGCCAGGCCCTCTCCTCTGGGTCTCTGGGATCAAGGCTATTGTGCACAGCGATTCACCCCAACTCTGCTCTCAGCCTTCTCTCCATCTGGGCCCAGGCTTGTCCCTACGCGGGAGACATCATTCCACCAGGAAGCCCTCCAAGATTAGCTCTTCGTTTCGGCCACTTGCCAATGGAACCTGTGACCATCTACTAAGTGCCCAGGGGCAGGTAAGATGTCTTGTGCATGGTTCTTTCAACCAATCCTTCCTGAGCACCTACTGGGTGTCAGACTCTGGAGACACGATGATGAATAAGACAGACATGGTCACTGTCCTTAAGGAGTCTGTCTAATTGGAGAGAGAGAGGCAGAGGAAGTCCACGAGGCGTAAAATAACTGCAAATGATGCTAGCAGTTATGAAGCAGACAGAAAGGATGTGAGGACAGAGACTGTGAGGGGAGGAAAGGGACCTCCTGAGAGGGACAGTCTGGGAGGGTGTCTCAGTTCTAAACCCTGCACGATGAAAAGAAGCTCACCATGGAAATGCTGGAGGTACGGGGTCATTTTGGACA